CTATGATTGGCTGCAGCTCATCAGGCCATGACGCCACGGAATAGGCAGAGATCAAGGAATGGAAAATTACCCAGCGCCTGCGCAATAATCTTGTTTACATTCAGTGCCTGCAGGCGCCATCATTGTAATGGAGAATGCAGGGACGGCTCCCTACAAAGTTGCCTTGGTCATGGTGTCTTATCACAGTGATATGAAGGTGAGCTCAGGGGAAAGGCCTGTCTCTGCAGGAAGGCTTCACTGGTTGGTGCCCTGATGGGCTTTGACCAGGACCATGCAGACCCCAGTGGTTGGACAGTGGTTTTAAATCTTCCTAATGCTGTGACCCTTTAATACAGTTCCTCACATGTGGTGACCCCCAACCATTCGATTATTTGCATTGCTATCTCATAACTAAATCTGCCACTTTATTTTTTTTAATTTTTTTTATTAGTTCAAGTTAGGGGACAAGCTTGTTTCACATGTAAGTCCCTTCTCCCTCTCCCCCCCCTCACCCATCCCCTAAATCTGCCACTTTATGAACTGTAATATAAGTATCTGTTTTCCGATGGTCTCGGGCAACCCCTGTGAAAGGGTCGTTCAACCACCAAAGGGGTCTCAACCCACGAGTTGAGAATCACTGCTTTAGCATGAAGATGGCTAGGGCTAGGAAATTCGTATCAAAATTCCAACTGAAGCCATCCATGGTCAAGCAAGGCTTATCACACAGATGGGACAGCTGGTAAAAAGTCATAGGCTCCTCTCCAGCCCAAGTGACTCTGAGGACAAGATTCTCAGCTGGCCTTAACAGTTTTGTTTTTAAGTGATAAATTTGGCTGCTTGCATGGTCTTAAATACCTAGTAGGAAAGTATACCCAAGACTAAAATGATTAGTGTTTCTTCTGTCAGGCTCATACTGGTGGACACCGGGCTTAAATCCATGCATGAGTTGCTGTTTGGACAGCTGCTTCTGACTAATGATTTGATAAGAAGCTTCCCAGATAGAGGACCTCATGAGCTTGCCTCAGTTCAGCACTGGGGTGCCTGCCTGCAACCAGGAAAGACAGCTCCTGTGGTTTTATGGTTAAACCTCTCTCTCTCCCTCTATAGAAGCCATCTGGTAGGGCCCTCACACTGATTCCAACTGCTACAGAAGTTATCAGCAATGTGCCAGAAAGTAGATCCTGGGCTCATCACTCTAGAAAAAAGCTTTGGAGGCCAAAATTGCCTTTTTCAGAGAGAGACTGGAAGAGGGAGGGTGTGGAACTGACAGGCAGGACAAATCACCATTAGTCCTGGCCCAGTACTTCATGGAAGGAAGTCTCTTGATAAAGGCCCAGCTATGGCAATGTCAAGTCACATACTTGGGGGTGATACAGAAGAGAGAAAGGGTAAAAGCTGAGCTCTGAACGGACCCAGTGGAAGACCTCAGGCTTCTTCTAGAAGCAACTATTTAAGTCCAGGATGGGTAGCATCCCTTCATCTTCCTAACTATCCCACCTGACTGGATTTTGTTCGCCAATTGCTGCTGTTTGACTTTTCTGGGAATGGCTACTTTACAGTGGACTACATTGTAGGGCCTCTAGCCTTCTCCACGCCCTTTCAGCCCCTCTGCTCCTCCAGATGAAGCCACAGTGGATACTGCCTGCCGGATTGTTTTTGTTTTTGGAGACAGGGTTTCTCTGTATTGCTCTGAAGGTTGTCCTGGAACTCGCTCTGTAGACCAGGCTGGCCTGGAACTCAGAGATCTGCCTGCCTCTGCCTCCTGAGTGCTGGGATTAAAGGTGTGTGCCACCAACACCCGGCATTGTCAGAAGTGGGATTTTTACCACAGCGTGTGAACCAGCATCAGGACAAGGTCAAAGGCATCCCCTCTCTCTTGGACAGACACTAGACTCCACCCCTTCTCAGCAGGAGGCAGCTAGAGTGGTCATCACCAAGAGAGACAGGCCAACTATTACTTTATAATTTTCTTCTCCCCCCCTCTCTAGAAGTCATCCAGGGACCTCACAACAAGTCTGTGATGGTGACTCCTTGTTCTTGGAAGACACTGTGAGAAGAAATAGCCAGGAAGTCAGTGAGATGGCTGTCTAAACTGGGCCAGTGCAGTGAGGGAGGACTCAGAAACCCTATGAAGTACCTAAGCTGGAGTCACCCATCCCAAAGGCATAAAGCTGTGGCCAGGACTTGCTTTCCCACAGCCTGATCTATCTCCCCTGGATGCTCAGGATCCTGTGTGCCAGACTATGTTCTGCACCCAGGTGACCCTCCCCACCTGTGGATTTAACTTAGGTCATGAGGCTTGCCTAAGAAGCGCCTTTAACCAAACTGTCCTTTCCAGGTGCAGGCCAGGGGGACAGGGGACAGAGGCTGGGCTGCTTCCAGCCGTAAGAAACAGAACACACAACTCACACTGGTTTGAACAAATAGGAATTTATTTCTTTGACAAACATAACTCCCCTCCCCCAGCAGTTGATAGTCTAAGGCGTGAGGCAGCTCTTCAGTCCCTGAGGCCCCCCTGTCTAACAGGTGTGTGCTCATCCCAACCCTCAGTCACAGGTGTTTTTGCCACATGTCAGGCAGGAAGATGAGAACCCTTGAGCCAATGTCCTCCAGCTCACTCTCCTGAGCCACAGGGGTCACAAGACCTCCCTTGCTGGAAGGGAGCTGGGAAAAGAAGCATCTCAACTGATGGGATGAGCTGAGAAAGGGACAGTCTCCGGAGTGGGTGTCTGGGAGCCAGCCATGGGTGCTGGAGGATGAGTGCGTCAGAGGCTCTGCCACAGCAGGGTGGTGACCTTAGCACTGCGCACGCCCCCCTTCAACAAAGTGCAAAATTTTAAAGGTAAAAAGTTAAAAACCTTTAGGAAAATCATCTTTGGAAAAGACTAATAAATGCCATGTAAATGCAGACTGCACATCAAATGACGTCATTAGCTATGGGAAGCATAGCTCGTGGGAAGGAACCTCTGCAAAGCAGCTCACCAGGAAACTGAAGATAAGGACCCCTGCACATCAGCAAGAGAAACAGGGTCGGAACTAAAGCATCTGAGGAAGCACACAGCAAGTGGAGCCCCTCAGCCCGAGGCAGAAAAGCGCACAGCAAAACTTCTGCACCCAAGCTGAACCCTGAGGCCAGGTGCTAAGGAGTGGGCAGAAGGAAAAGTGGAAATGTATGCAAGCTACAGATCACACTTCTCATGATGCATGGGAACACAGTTCAAGAACACTCAAAGCAACACCACATCTAAGAGCAATGCCTGGAAGACACCTAATAGTCCTGGGTAGGGCATATGGCTGGCCACACCCACCGGGATGACAGCCAGGAAGCATCTTGGGCTACAAGATCAGAGGCACAGCAGCAGTGCTGAGTTTGAAGAGCCGAGGAATACACCCAAATAGCACTTAAAACCCAATCTAAAGAGAAATTTAACAACCATCATCTCTGGGGGAAGGGGACAATGGGTTCACAAGTGTTGGCAGGCACAGCAGATCCACAGATGTACATTTATGCTTAAATGTTAGATGAAGTAACCTTAGGAACATACACCAAAAAAGTAATTGTGGAATCTTATTCCTGTGTGAAAATACAGACAACTCTGGGTATGACCTTAGGAACAATTCTTCACAACTATGTGGATGGAGAGCCCACCTGGAAGGACCAGTTCAGGGATAGATGGAGAGCCCACCTGGAATTAGACCTTCTGGGATCCAGTACAGACCCTGCCCTGGTCCTACTCTGCAAGACCTACTAGGTAGGCTAGGTGTGGAGAGAGCAGGTTTATTACTACATGCATGTGTGTGGAGACCAGAGGGCAGCTTATGTGTGACCTTCAGGAATGCCATGTGCCTCCTTTGCCATAGAGTCTCTTTGGCATGAAAGTCACCAACTAGCCCAGAGAACCCCAGAGCCCACCAGCCCCCATGTCAGTGAGTACAAGAGTATATCACCACACCCAGCAATTTTCTGCGGGTGTTGGGGATCAAACTCATGCTTGCAAAGCAAGTGTTTTATGGACTGAGTCATTTCCCCAACTCTGCAGCAGGCTCTTTAGAGCTGTCTAGGGGGCTCCAATAAGCAGAGGTCCATCTTTCTAATGTGACTAAGTAACTCAGGGAGAGCAAGTTAGAACAAGAACTTAGGTCAGATTCCAGGCCTCAGATGTCTTGTTACTGCCCTGTGCACAACAGACAGACACAGACACACACACATCCAGTCACAGAGGAAACAAGCTAATGTGTGCTCGAAGGATGGCGTACAGATACAGAAAGCGCCTTCTCCATCAAACCCAAGCTGCCTCACAAGGACGGTAGTTCCTGGTTCCTTTAAGACTTCCCAACAGCCGTAAAGCTGTGGAGACACAGCTGGAAACTGGCAGTTGCAGTGAGAAATCTCAGACACCTAACCATGACAGTCTCTGACAAGGACAGATGGATCTCAGCAGCTCAGTGAAGTGACAGTCAAGATGCTGGGCTTCAGATTTACCACAGCGATGGGGAAGGCCATGGTCCAGCAGAAAATGGCAGCTTTTGCTTGTGAGGTGACAGACCAAACATTACTTGACTGTAGAGGAAGAAGATGAGGAAAAGAGACTGACTTGGTAAAGTCCCCAAGGAGGGACAGGATGGTGATCAGAGCTTGCCTGGAAGCAACACAATTCCTCATAGTGGGAGATTTGGGTGGAGAAGACTGGAAGCTAGGGGTGCTAATACCTGCTTCCTCTCAGCCCTGGCTCTGTTCCCTCAAGTAACCGAAGGGAACACCACTGACAAACCCGGCTGTTCTCCATTCCAGGCTCACTGGCTCCTTCCAGATCATCCCAGACACCCCTCAAGATTTGTCGCTGTCCTTCTCCACCCCCAGTGCAGCCTAACAGTCTCAGGCTGAGGTCACATCCTGTGTTCAGGTGAGTTTTGCTTGGCCTGAGCGCCATGGTTCCCTACCATCTCCCACCCCTTATGGGCTGCTGCAGGCCAGAGAACAGACTGGAAAATGACCAGAAATGAAAAAGCCCCCAGGACAGTCATGAGGCTGAGATTGGCTTCTTTATTTAGGAAACCGTCACACCCTGGGCCCTGTCCTCGGCCTTAGCTGAGGTTTGTCTTCGTAAAAAGCTACAGGGAAGAAGGCCCAAAATCCCAAACCCTGTGTGCCTCCAAACCAAACCACTCCCAGGACCCTAAGGAGCCAACCATGAGTACACAGAACCTCTTGTGTTTGACAGTCACCCGCAGGGCCTCAGCTGGGCCCCAAGTACAGACTCCCCTGCTCCCAGGAGCATGCCTCGAGATGGGGCAAGAGCCTCCAGCTGTAGGGGAGCCCTGAGCCCCAGTCCTGCCAGCTGTCTCAGCTGGGCCAGAAGCAAAATGTATGAAAATACTTTAATTATTTCTTTGAAACAGTTAAGAAATAAGGTTGGTTGGTTGATTTTACAATCCCAGTAGAAAAAAAGTTCATTTAAGAGCTCTGGCCCAAGGTCAGGCCCTTCCAGCCAGACTGGCCACTCAGTAGAAGCGTTTGTTCCGCTCCTGGCGCTTCTGAAACACCACGGCGCCCACCACAGCACAGACAATGATGCCCAGGAGTGCACACAGCAACAGCAGGAACACTCTCCACCCCGTCAGGGGACCGCTTCGGAAATTTCCAGTGGGGTCATCCACGTTGTCTGTGGGAAAAGGAGGGAAGTTAAAGGACAAAGCACGAGGGGGCCACCCCATAAATGGCTCCACAAAACCAGACTGACAGGAACTCCCAGCAGCCACACAGCCTTAGGGAGCCATCCACCCTACTCACACCTAGCAGACCAGCCACAGGCCTGGGTCCTGCATCTGCACTGGCAAAGGGGGCAGAGTTCGGATGAGATCTACTCAGTAGAACTCAGGAACTTGAAGGCCACAGCATCCCCCACAAGCTGTTTAGCCTTGGGGGTCCCATGGGTCCCTGTGGCCTACCAATGCTCAGTCCCTCCACAGAGGCAGAGCTAAGCATGGAGATAATATCAAGTGAATGTCCCTGTCTTGCTTGCCCCTGGGGACACAGGTGGGCAAAGCAGATGTCGTTTCTTGGAGCAGCAAACAGCACTGACCTAATGGTGCTATATGGCAGGATTAACTTAGCTCTAAAACACTAAGACCAACCAGAATCTTTAAGATGGGCTGGAAGATAGCTCAGGAGTTGAGAGTACACACTCCAAAGGACCTGAGTGTGATTTCCTGCACCCATGCTGAGTGGCTCACAACAGCATAGAATTCCAGCTCCAGGGACCTGATGTCTCTAGCCTCATGGGCGCCCACACCTACATGCAGACATACACACGCAGACACACACACACACACACACACACACACACACACACACACCACCTAGAGACACACACACGCACACACACACACACACACACACACACACACACACACACACACACACACACACACACACACACACACGCAGACACACAGGCACAGAATTAAACACAATAAAAGTAAAAAACTGAAAAATGTGAGATGTCAAACACCAGGCCCAGTGGCTACACCTGTAGTTCCTACACCCAGGGTAGGGGCAGGAGACCTGGAAGGTTAGCATCCCCCTCAGCTACAGTGAGTTCAAGGCCAGTCTGGGTTTCATGAGATAAATTCCTATTTTTAAAGTGAGATGTCATACCACATAGAACTTCCTAAAAAGCCAGAAAAACAGAGGGGCATGGGCATGGACAGGGACAAGCCCCTTCAGGCCTGTAATTTTCAGTCTCTGGCCTTTAGGGGATAGAAGGAAAGGGGCCTCTTCACCAGAACACTCACTGTGAGGCAGAGTTATGGTAACGGGAGGGCCCAAGGCTAGAGTTTAAAGTTGAGTTGACCGTAGCCTCTCTTTCAGGTGGCTCAGAAGTGAAGCGTGGCAAGGAGCACTGGGTGTGCTACATATGGCCAACAAACTGGTCCTAGTGCAGCCCAGGAAGAAGTGGATGCTGGGTGCTCACACACAGGCCAACTACTATTAGAGCCTCGACAGAGCCCACACACAGCCAGTCGGCACCTGTGCTCATAAGCTCACCAAAGCCAACCGACCCAAGCTCCTCTCTCCAGTCACAGCAGGACAGGACCACAGTTCTCCTGGAGCCCAGGGCCACGCGCTCGTGCGCACCCCCCACACCCCCGTACCCACACACCTTTAGGGGACCTGAGGAAGTTGACCCCAGGTTCGATCTTGGTCCAGTCAATACTTTCCTCCTCAGGCGTGCGTTCTACCATGAGCTGGAACAGCTTGATGGAGATGATGTCATGGTTGTCTACAGGGCAGAGAGTGAGCCTACCTCAAGATGTGGCCCACTGCCCTACACAAAGAAAAGCCCCTCCCCAGCCACAGATGGCCCATCCCTGGGAAAAGCACTTTTGTTGGCAGGCAGGCAGGCAGGCAGGCAGCATTTCCGGGGCTGAAGTGACTCCAGAGTTGAGCTGGGGTACAGCTAATGCTAAACATGTACTTAGCATGTCTAAGGGCCTGGGTTCAAGACCCAGCTTGGGGAAGTTGAGGAGCTCAAGAGAAGACAGAGTGGAGAGAAAAAAGCATGAGCTTAGACATTCCCAAGTGATCTGGGTCCAAACTTAAAGGCCAGGTTTCTTTGAAGAATGGAAGCAATGCTGTCCATATTGAGCCATCACAATGGCCAGGACCGAGATGCCCATGGAGAGACAATGCTGAGTAGAGGATATGAACTAAAAACAGAAACCAGATAAGGGCCAGCGTGCTCATTCTAGGGCTGTCTGAGAAGCCCGATACTTCCAAGAATAGCAAGCAGCCAGATGGTCCTGTCAGAGACCCACGTGCAGGCTGCAGATAAACAGACAGGCAGTCGGCAGCTAAGCCTGAGACCTGAGAAGGGTGTGGTCCAAACACCAACACGGGCACAAAAGATGTTCTATGTCAGAAGTGAGGCACTGGAGTCCAGCGGTGATGTGGCTCCGAGCCAGCCAACTCCACATGTAAACTCAGTGACCTGATTAATCTAAGGCAAGGCTGTGTGTGTGTGTGTGTGTGTGTGTGTGTGTGCGCGCGCGCGCGTCTGTGAGAGAGAGAGAGAATGCCTTAGGCATGCAAACATTTACAGCTGATGGTAAACTGAGGAAGACTCACGCAAAGGAAGGCAGGCAATCAGCAGCTGAGGACAGGCCCTCTCTCACACTCACCAGACAGGTCGCCGGTGCCCGCAGAGGCGCCAAAGTAATAGCCGGTGGGCAGGCGCACTCCTGTGATATCGATACAGTTTTTCCACTCGTTCTTGTCCTCCAAGTCCGTCATCACCTGCAGTCAGCGGGTCAGTCAAGCACACACCCAGGCTCCAGCCAGCTTCCTCCTGAAGCCGTCTGTGGAACCCCGCACAGGCCCAGCGGCCTTCCCATCATGCCTACTCACAGTAAGGCGGCCCCGGGAATAGCGGACAGCCAGGAAGGTATCATGGTCCCGGTTGCGAAAGTCCGCTGTGCAGCCTGCCAACTCACTCCAGCGTCCATCTTTGCTATGATCGTATGATAGAGAGCCATTGTTCACCATCACCGAGATGTACGGGAACACACGCTGGAACCAAGACACTGGTTACTCCATGCCCAGCCAGCCTGTGGGCACACAGCATCCCACCCAGGAGGATGCTTCCATGCCAGGACCAGAGCAAAGTCCCAGTTCCCAACATAAGCCAGCTGCCCAGCCCTTGCTGCCGGCCCCACAGAAGAACAGAGTCCTACCTCCGTTGTTTCATCATTGGGGTACGTGTCCAGGAAGATGGCTAAACCATGGAAGTTGTCTTTGCTTCCAAACACAGGTCCTACAATGAGGAGATACTTTCAGAACATGTCGATGGATAACTCAAAGGCAGTGTGCACAGAAGCTAGAGAACCCAACCATTGGGACCTTACCCAGGGGGGAAGGACCTCAAGGGACAAAGCGGTGAGGAGGGGCCCTGGACTCTCAGTACAGAGAGCTGAAGACTGAAGCCCAGCAGCACTTGAGAGGCTAAAGCTGGAGGACTGCTATGAGTTTAAGAACAGCTTTGGCCACAGGGGGCCAGGTCACCAGGGCCATCTGAACAAAAGTTGAGGCATTAACTATCCGGGCAGCCACCAAGGCAAGTGTTGGGGTATGTCGGTATGATCTAGGACACCTTCTTAAACTGTAAGTAGCAGTTGTCTGTAAGTACCCCAGAGGCATTTCCTGCTTTGCTGGCTGCATTCTTTGCAGCTTCATGTTTCAGAATGGGCCCCAGGAGATTGGCTCAGCAGGTAATGGTCCTCACTGTGCAGGCCTGGTGACGTGAGTTCCTCCCCCAGAAAACACATGAAGAGGAGGAACAGACTGACTTCACAAAGCTGTCCAGTGATCTCCACAGGTGTTGTGACATGCATGCATGAGTGCACAAGAGAGAGAGAGAGAGAGAGAGCAAGCACATGCTCACGCTCTCACACACACATTTAAAATCTATGGCAGAATGGCCAGGTGGGGCGGTGTATGCCTGAGCCCTACTTGAGTGACAGGCAGAAGGAATACTTTCATGTTTAGGTGGTCTGGGCTAATAATGAGTTTAAAACCAAAACTGGGATACATAAATCTAAATCTAAATTGAAATCTAAAACCCTAAAAATAACAGGCAGGACGGTCTTAGGTGTGTCAGAGGGGTAGGGGCACCACAGGACCACCGTAGCCTCCTCAAGGACCCCTCCAGAGCAAGCACGAGCAAGCACAGCAGCGTCTCCCAGCAGAACAAGCACAGTGGCCACAGGCCAGCTACTTGCCACGCCCATCCCCCCACTGCCCTGGTGGCTAGCAGCTATGCCCGTGTCTACCCACTCTTGGGGGCCCAGCAGGGTCCACCCGAGTGTGCACCTCCCTACCTGGTACCAGGCGGTCCCGGGTGTACCACAAGGCGATGCCATCTCCATGGAGATTCTTCTTCCCAATGCCATGGACCTTGAAGTGGACGTGCATCTCCCAATCCTTGAGGAAACACGGCTGGAGAAAAAGAAAGGCCCTCAGAGATACCCAGGCTTTGGAGCAGGCTGGAGTGCAGCCTGGCATGCCCCACCCCCACCAAAACCAGGCATTCACTGGGTACAGGGATCAGGCAACCATACCTTAAGTGCTACTGGCCCCTAAGTGAGGCAGGGAAGCCAAATGGTGTCTGAGGCTACCTGAGGCCAGCCTTGCCACTTTCCTCAAAGCATAACCCAATCCTGTTTTACCATGCTCATCCACACGTGCCTGTCTTGTCAGCACCATTTAAGTCACATATTTTAAATTAAGCATTTTGAGGCAAAGTAATTTGTCTATAGCAGATGAAAAAGTGGTCTTGATATAACCAAGTCTGATCGAAACCTGGGCTACTTCTTATATCCCCACAGCCTCCAGGCATTTCATGTAAATTATATATGGCCTGCTGAGTCACAAAGTGACTCGCTTTTCTAAACTGAAACAAGACCCTGCCTTAGCAGTATGGCAGTAAACAACAAGTCATCAAAGTCCAGTTCAGATGAAGAGAGGCTCTCAGTTAGTGGTGAGGCTTCACGCTACAAGCCCCCATTAATGATTTTTTTTTTCTTGTCCATTTTGTGTATTCAAGAGTTTAGATTCCCTGGAACTGGAGTTACAGAAAGCTATAAGCCAATGTGGGTGCTGGGAATTGAACCTGGGTACTCTACAAGCGCAGTCAGTGCCCTTAACCACCTCTCTCAAGGTCTTGTTATGTATTCATGGCTGGCCTCAATCTCAAAGCAATCCCCCTGTCACAGCCTCCTGAATGCTGGGATTACAGGCATGTACTACACTGCCCACCCAATCGGGCGCAGCCATTTAACAATGCCATTCTCAAGAGGACTCAGACTTGAAATGACAGCTAAGGCCGAGTGTGCCAGCAAGAAAGAGAAGAGGCAGGGGCGGAGGGCCCCAATGACACGCAACTCTGAGGGGTGACCCCTTCAGAACGACCCTGTGCTGGCTAGTTTTATGTCAACTTGACACAAGCTAGAGTGATTTGGGAAGAAGAAAATTTCAATTGAGAAGATGTCCCCACAGGGTGGCCTGTGGGCAAGTCTTGGTGTATTTTCTTGATTGATGTGGGGGAGCCCAGCTCTTCATGGATGCCACTCCTGGGCAGGTGTCCTCGGTGCTATAAAAAACAGTGTGAACACGCCATGGAGAGCAAGAGTAAGATGCTTACTCCCCTGCATGGCCTCGGCACCCGCTCCTGCCCTGGCCTCCCGCAGAGACGGACTTACAGGCTATACAACCAAAAGAAGTCTTTCCGGCCCTAGTAGCTTTCGGTCATGGTGTCTATCCCGTCAATGGTAACCCTCCTCCTTCAGGTGGGCTGGCTGAAAGGAGACGGCCGCCAGAACCAGCACGGGCAACCTCTACCATTGTCACAATCCCAGTGCACACGGGCTGCAAAACCACCCCAGGGCCAGGACAACTGACAGAAGTCACGGCAACTTCCGAAAGGAACCACAAAAGGAGTGGAAAGGGGTTATGTGCCCAAGTTCCAAAAACCTGATTACTTGTCCCCTTCCAAGCCTACCCCTTCCCCACTTAGATATTTTACCCTGTATTTATAATCTCTTGATTCTCAAGGTTGAGAGGTTGATTTTCAAGTTTACTTCCCACTTCTATTCTCAGCCATGAATAAAAACCTTCCCAACTATTCAATTAGAAGTGCTCCTGTTACTGTTTGCACAGTCCCCAAAATGGAAAAAGGACCTGGTTTGGGAACAAAAAAGAACCTGATAGCACAATGAAACGTAATACTCTTGTAATCAGGGAAACAATTCAGAAATCAGAATACATGATGTCCCAACGCAAACAGGCAATGCGGCTAGCGCACGGATTCCATTAGCTTCGTATATCAGAAGGTACTGGGGACTCAGCTGGCCCTAGAGCATGGAACTAGCAAGGACCTGCATGACGGCACACAACATGAGCTTCCCCTGGTCTGGGCATAGTCATGAAATCTGGAAGAGGTAGCTAAGCTATGACAGCCAGCTCTGAAAGACAGGAGGAGGGTGGGGTGGGTGGTGGTGACACACCCTTTAATCCCAGTGCTCAGGAGGCAGAGGCAGGTGGATCTCTGGGAGTTTGAGGCCAGCCTGATCTTCAGAGAGAGTTCTAGGACAGCCAGGGCTATACAGAGAAACCCTGCTTGAAAAACCTACATACATACATACAGAGGGACAAGGACCCCAATCCAAGGCCTGCTGATGGAGTTGGGGGTCTTGTTCCAGTTGGGACTGAGGTCTAAAAAAAATGCACCAGAAGGGCCCTCCAAGGTGAGTCCTCTTCACCCCTCGAATTAGAGCTATGAGACTTTGCCAGTCCCCAACTTTCTTCTACAAATAATTGTACAAATGTTTTTGTCAGCAGCGAGCACAAGTAACTAGGCATCAAAGAGACAAAGGGAAACCCAAGGAAGCAAAGGAACCCAGACTGTGCTCCCAGTAACTATGTCCAAGGGCCTAAAAGACAATTATGGGAATGTAGCAGGTTGGCGCTATTCTTAAACTCACACGAAGAAACACAGTTTCAGAACAATATATGATGACATAATGAACAAACTTAACAGCAGATGGAGAGATGTACACAAGGTTACTCAGAAATACCAAGAAAGGGGGAGGGGTTCAGAACTTAGAGTAAGATCCCAGAGGAAAAGACACAAATAAATTCAATTTTCAAAATGAGACACGAGAGATTGGAGCAAAGCAGCAGAGATTTGTGACTGCCACAAACTTCAACAGTCCCACAGCCAAAGGAGACTGACAAACAGGAATAAGACCCCATCTTCTGGATACAAATGCATGCACTCCCAGTGCAAGGGTGGCTTGATGGGAGCTGTGGGTGTAGTTTAGTGGCAGAGTGCTTGCCTAGAATCCATCCCCAAACTACAAACCCACACAAAAAGTTGAGGTCTCCAAGGCCACCTAGGAGTGGGTACTGGCCATTTCAGTTTTCCTGTGATCTCTCCCTTTCATGTGTTGTTTCTGTATGTTTAGAGGGTGTACCTCATTATTCTCACTTACCGTATGTGCACAGGGATGTGCAGGTGAGTACAGGTGCCTGTGGAGGTCAGGGGCTTTAGATCACCCTGGCAGCTGTGTTCAACCCAGTGTCACTAGGAATCTAACTCAGGCTTTCTGCAAGAGCAAAGCACACTCTTAACCACTAAGCCATCTCCCCGGCCTGCTTTTGTTGGTTCTGAAACAAAACAAAGTCTCACAAAGCCCAAGCTGCCCTTGAGATGATGTACCCGGAAAGCCCTCACCAGAGCAAGCACCATGATTTCACTCCAAACCGTAACTCTTTCTGAAGGTTATCCCTTCCTGGATACTTCATTACAGTAGCATAAAAGAGAATAGATTAACCCACCTACAGGGTTAACCAGAGGTTTAAAAGCCAGCTAACAGACCACTTTCAATGAAGCTAACAATTAGCAAAGACAATACACATTCAAGAAATGAAACAGAAAGGCAGCAGCAGCCTACATTCAGCAAATGTACCCAGAAAGAAAAAGGGTGAAATTAAGACAATTTCAGACACACAAAACAAAAGAATTAAAGGAATTAATTGCCAGCGGCCCTCTCATACTGTCTTTCATTCTTTGCAGAGAAGGAAATGAACCAGATCCACATGGGCGTCATGTTCAGAAAGAAAGAACAGCAAACACAGTCGGTCTGGAGACAGAAGCTACAGCTGCACCCACTTGCTCAGTGTCACATGGCTCACAACACAAGGGACTGAAATAAGGCTGGTGACAGGGTGAACAGAAGTGTCCTAAGGCCCTGGCACTGTCCAGGAAGAAAGTAAAAGTATAAAAGCACACATTATCCTTTTTTAGTATATGTGCTGCCGAGGTGAGCACAGCACACATTATCCTTAAGACTCTGGTAAAGGGCTGGAGAGATGGCTCAGAGGCTAAGAGCACTAACTGCTCTTCCAGAGGTCCAGAGTTCAATTCCCAGCAACCACATGGTGGCTCACAACCATCTGTTATGAGATCTGGTGCCCTCTTCTAGTGTGCAAATATACATGGAAGTAGCTTAAAAAAAAAAAAGGCTGGTAAAATGTGGACGTGGTGTGCATGTGTACATGTATGTGTGTACCTGTGTGTGTGTGTGTGTGTACCTGTGTGTGTGTGTTTGTGCATGCATGTGTTTGGGAAGGGTTGTTTTTGGAGTGTTGCAGATAAAAGCGAGGTTTTGTGCACCTCCAGTCCTGTCATTTTAAAATAGGGTCTTGCTATGCTGCTCAGGAGAGCCTCAATCTAGCAAACTTCCTGCTTCTGCCTCCTAGGTGCTTAGACATCTTCCTGCCATCCAGGATAACCATAAAAAAATTGAGAAAAAAAGAGGCTGGATGGAGGGCAAAGTTCTGAAGAGCAGCAGCTGCTCTTGAAGAGGACTCAGTTTGGTTCCCAGCTCCCAGTTCAGGCATTCACAACTGCCTCAACTCTAGTTCCAGGGGATCTGATGGGACGGACTTTCTGGCCTCCACAGGCACCTACACTCGTTTCCATACACACAGAAGCACAAACACAAATAACAAGAAGAATGATAAAAACTCTGAGAAACAAGCATACAACTTCCAGACCAATAAAAGAGGCAAAATGAGTAAGAAATGTTCAAGTTGTCAAGAGCAGAGAGAAGAGGACAGGGAAGACAGACGGGAAGAAGACAGAGACAGGCTAACCCTAACAAGCCAGGCATCTTACCAAGTGCAAATGGAAGAGACTGAGATAAAACCCAGTATAAGCTCTCATTCATCGTTATTGTTGCAGTGTGGGGTTGACCCCAGTGTGTCACTGTTTTTTTTTTTTTTTTTTTTTTTTTTTTTTTGATTTTTCGAGACAGGGTTTCTCTGTGTAGCTTTGGAGCCTCTCCTGGAACTCGCTCTGGAGACCAGGCCTCGAAATCACAGAGATCCACCTGCCTCTGCCTCCCGAGTGCTGGGATTAAAGGCGTGCGCTGCCG